ATAAGAGGCCTGCGGCCAAGCAGTTGCGGGGTTACAGTTCCACTCCGCCCATCGTGTACGTGCGTGTGCAGTCAGACTCTGCGGAACGCTGGGAACTGGGCAAAAGACGCACGTAGAGTGAAGGAAGGTTAGACAGAGAGACAGCAGACGCAGCAGCAGCAGCAGCATAAAACAGTAGATCCAAGACAAGGAAAGATGAGCGTACACGACAGCACGCCCGCATTCAATCGAAGCGGCAGCAGCTACCATAGTATCAAGGGATACTCCGGCGGTGGACTGCCGGGCAACCCACTCGCCGGCAAGAACAAGAACAATGTCTCAACCGACCCGTTTGTGGCTGGTCAGCAACGGCTGCAGACAATTATGCGGAACCCGTCGACGCGGATTGAGAGCGACGGCTCGTTGGTATACGACCCGAACTACCTGCCGAAGCACAAGAAGCTCATATACATGGCGTCGTACAGCGATGGCGATGAACTCGACCCGGTGGAGCCGCTTTTCTGGCTCGTGTGCGCGTGCGTGTTGGGGCTTGGCGCCTTTGTTGCATTCGTCGTGGTGGCGGCGCTGCAGTTACCGTTCAGCTTCATGTTGGAGACGCCCGTTTACATTTCGTCCGGCAGCTGCGCCGGCTTCCTCTTCCTCGTCATGTTCCTCTTCTACGCCTTCACGTCGAAGGATGAGCGCTGGTTCGGCAACTTACTCGACGGCCTCATTGGCGCCGTGCCGTTTCTGCTGCTTGGCGGCCTTGTTGGCTACATGTACAGCGGCTTTGTGGTGATGATGGTGAACCTCGTCGAGGACGACGCGACGACGGTCGGCATTCAGTGGTGGTACGTCACCTTCTCGTCGGTGCCGCCCTTCCTGCTGTTCTTCATTCCCATGTTTGTAGTGGCGATGCAGGTGCAGGAGGCGTCGGCGGTCAGCGCGCGCATCTTCAAGGGGCTGCCGGCGCCGCCGCCCGGGTACGTGCCGCGCACCAACGGCGCTGCCGCGTATCTCTTCTCCGCCTTCCGCCGCTTCATTGTCGGCTTCGCGATGGGGGTCGGCATGGCCGCGTACTACGCCATCACGTGTTTCGGCCTTGGCTGGCTTGCGTACGGCCTCTACCTCTCCACAGAGGTGTACTTCTGGATCCCCATCGTGGTGCTCGCGCCGGGGCTGCTGCTGCTGCT